GTGGGGTCTTTGTTCCCAGCTGCGCTCAGCTATTTCATACACGTCACATTGAGATAATATAATAAAATCCAACACATGGAATATCACATGTTTAGATTATTTACTACGGCATAATGCAAAACAATTGGCTCATTCCAAATATATTCGTAACAATATGGCACACGTAAATAACAACATAAAAAAAAATACAAAATGACCACAAAAGGCGCTTTTATGCAAACAAATAAATGTCCACGCCAAAAAAAAGAAATTCCAACAATAATTGTTTTTAATCGAGTTTATTATTGTTATTTCATTCAGCCATTTGGAGTAAAATATGTTTTAATTTCCATATTGTGCGTACTCCAAAATTTAATAACATTTTGTTAAATGACAAATTTATCGATTTGCGCACATGTACAGATGAAAAAAAATGAATAAAAAAATGGATAATAATAAAAACACTAAAACTGATTTCATGAACCAACGTCGAGTGTGTTTATCGTGGAATTTTTTTGCACAAAATATTTATGATTTTCCACATCAGATAGTATATACCGTTTAAGCGAGAAGGAGAAAAAAAACAGGAACAATTTAAACAAACAGAAATGGTGCTGACTGTCGAGACGAACATTTGAAGAATAAAAAAAATTCGGCAATCAAGTCAATTAATTTACAACGTATATTTTCATTTTCACAACATTTCTGGGTTTGTTGCTGCTGCTGCTCTTCGTTTCTTTTTAATCCCAGAAATGTTTTGACTAACCAATTTAATTCTCATGTTTATTTATTTATACAAAATGTTTAAAGAGAGCAACAGTAATAAGAGAAAAAAAAATGCAAACATCAAGAAGGTAACTTAGTTCCATCGTTCGATTTTAAGATTAAAAACAAGAATTTGAAACCAACAGATAAGGTAAAAAAATGTAAGTATCCATCTGTTATTGGCGTGTACGATGGGAAATTGACCTAATGCTATTATGTAATCATCGTTTTTCCAGCACAGTCTTGTAAAAAAGTTGTTTTAACTTTGTGCTTGAATGTGATTCAGAATAAAATGTGTGTGTGTGTGCGCATTTTCATTCGCAGTTCAATTGCTTTTCATGTTTTCTTACAGTTAGAGCGGGCAACGCAATAGAAAGAAAAAAGCGTGTGTTGTGATTTCAAAAGGCTTTGCCAAATGAAATAATATAATTCAGTGGAAGGTGAGCACGGAAAGTGAAGAAATTGACGTTTATTGAGCAAACATTATGTTTTTTTCTTCTTTCGTTTCATGTTCATATTATGATCAATTTTGATTATTTGTAAAAATAAAAAATAAAATCAAATGTAAACAGAATGCATTGGGTGGAAATCTTTTTGAAGATGAATATTTCATTAGTTCAGTCGCTGATCTTATATTGGTCAATTTAGCTTGCTATATTTAGCAAAGAATAGTCTTTTTGGTATATATTGAATGTGCACCGAAATTTCCAGAGAAAAAAACATACAGAAGCATCCGCCTTATTTTGGTTTGGCCCTCAATAGTACAGAAAGAAAAATACATACAAAATCGTTCTCTTTCTGAAAATTAAAAATGACAATGAAACGACCGAAATAGATACTAAAGATAGAAACATCACAATTTTTTTTTTCGCTCGTATTTCTTTCTCCCAAAACCTTTGTATGTATAAACTTGCGAATCAAATGTTTGTTCAAGAGAGCGCGAAAAAAACAATCTCATTTGAAATGTTGTGCAAATAGAATATCGAAAAAAAAAATGGAACACTCCAGTTCAAGGAATGTACAAATGATACGAAAGAGAGCAATACCGGTGATGCTGTCAAATAGATGAAACATTAGCACCAGATTAGATGAGATGACACAACCTGAGCACAATAACAAAGCCGAACAGAGAAGAGCAAAAAAAAAAATACACACGAATAACGCAAACATGGCTCGACTGATGGGGACCAACGGTGAGTTTTTTGCGCGATGTTATTTACAATCGGCAAATGATACAGGTTAAATTGAACAAGGAAAAAATCGTATCCGTGTGACGTCAAACCAGCCGAATTAGTAGACCATAAATTGATGCAAACAACGTCATACAACAAAAGTAATGGATTTGTCAGAAAATGTTCAAAAGCACAACTCTTTTTCTTCTCTCAACGTTGTCTTATCAACAATATCTATTATTTCGGCATTTTTTTTTCTGTCTCCCTTTGTTTTGGTATTCTTTAATATTGTAAAAATTTGTTTCTTTTTCGCGTGTGATGGATTTTGATGGTTGCTTCATCATGTCATAAATATATGGAGCAAAGTGGCTTAATGTCGCTGCTCGTCGTGTTATTGTCTTTTATGTCGCTGAGTCATAAATTATTTGGTAAGACCAACAGCTAAAAAAACATCAACTATTCATCTCGTACACCTATTCATATTCAAAATATGCAAACCAAATAGATTCGATCGATTTTCTTTTTCGATGCCCCATTTGCTGTGTGCAATGTGATGAACGCACGCATTCAACGCATAAACACAATCAATTTTTTGTCAACACCGAATTCCCGATAATTTTACCAGCTTAGCTTGGCAATGTATGTTTGCCTTGGGATACTGACAGAACAGACAAAAAAAACATTATTAGAATAACCGAAGTTCAAGTGAAACAATAACAAACGATAAAGAAAATGCGAGAAACAACATAAGCCGAAAGTAAATCGATTATATTTTATATAACACACATAAACAGACAAAAAAAAACTCTATCGTATACGTGTACCACGTGTGTTTACCAAATCATCAAAATATTTGCATTTTCGATGACAAACATTTCGTACATGTTGCATAACAGACAATGAAAAGTGCACACATTTGAGTATAAGTATATTTGATGAGTACGAAACAAAAAAAAAATCGTTTAGATTCAACAATGACAACAGCAAACATTTCAACCATTCCATTTCGATGGACCATGGAAAAGAATAAGAAAAAAATGCCTACGATCAAAAATAACGATGTTTGTAAACAAATGGTCAAATTTTATTATCAAAAAAACCAAAAGAGAGAGAGAGAGAGAGAGAGAGAGTTTGTATTGTGTTGATGTGTAATTCATTTTGATTGCAATTGCAAAAATTGCATTGAGTTTTAGTGGTTGAATGAGTGATGGTCAGAACTTTGGCTAACAGTCAAAATTGAGCCGAAGCAGAGTGGCAACAGAAAGAAAATTCACTCATTTTTGTGGGTAATTTCAATATTTCTGTATTCATCTCGTTCATAAGGTTCTTGTGGGTGCTGCAACCACAGTGAATTAACTTAAAATTTATTTCCAGGCTTTCGCTTTCTCACAAGGTGTAAGTCATGTTTCAAAAGTAAAAAAATAATAATCGGATTTTGTTACAGTTTGTTGAAAAAAAGGCTTGAAATGATTAACGGCCAGAAAACATACCAATCGTTCTCTAAAAAAACACCAAACATTTTTTTCATTTGCTGCAAAAAATGCTCCCTAATTGAGATTGCAAGCGGAAAATTAATAACAAACATTCTATTCAACAAAGTTGTTATGTGTTATGATAAAACTCTGTTAAACTGAAGTTTTGTCCAAAATCAGACGAGAAAAAAAAACATAAGTGAAGTGAGAGTGGCATGAAGGGGGGAACACCGAAAAAATGAACCACAAAAACGAAGAGAAAGAATGACGGGCTGCAATAAAAATTAATTAAAACGAATATTCACATTGTAGGCGATGGTTGAGCCATAAAATGTAACAAAAAAAAAACTTGACGAACATAAAATACGGTAGTGTCTGTTTTTTTTCCATTTGGCAAACAAAAATCGTTCATGCATTTTCGCTGTTTCTTTCATGGTATTTATCATTTAACTGGTTATTGCTCTTGCCAAGGATAATCATTTTTGGAATATCTCTCGTATCATCTCCATTTGAATGGGTCAGAATAAAAATCCGACTTGTACGCAGAGTCTATAAAAGTGGAACACAGTGTTTTTTTTTACATAGAATTGTTGTTGTATTATAACAAATAAACTATGTAAAAAAAATTCCATGTTCCACTTTTATAGACTCTGCGTACAAGTCGGATTTTTATTTTGACCCATTCATTTCTCTCTCTCTCTCTTTCTCTTTCTGTCACGTTATTTGTATTTGGATGCATTACGGGGATCATACCACTTACATAACATAATAATGTGAAACAAAAGCAAACGTAAAAGAGCGTATCAAATGAAACCTCTTGAATGGCAACAACCACTTACTATATACACATTTCAGCATTATTCCGATGGCAGAAACGCAATCGCATCTAAAAATAGAAACTGTGAATTCTCTCAATCATCAAAAAAGCAACGAGACCGATGCAAGTGAGAATGTTTCCCTTTAAATATTAATGATCCCGAAAAATCACCGGCAAAATGGAAAACTACGTCATACACTTGCAATTAATTACAACCATGTTTGCGTTTATTTTTCCTCTTGAGCAAATGGCAAACTGAATCCGTGTCAATTATCTATATTTGCTGTTTATTCATCTTGTTGAAGCAGCCATTGAACGCTCGTGCTGTTCCAAATTCTATTTTTTACCTCTTCCCTTTTACACTACCATTTGTTATTATTTGTTTTTAACACAACAATAAACGGAAGATAAACAATAAAAGTTTTTGGCTTAAAAAACAAAGTACAAATTATTATCATTTCAACATTGTTGAGCATTGAGCGCACGGCACAGTAATTATATCATTCGTATGTAACTTTGCTCGGTCACAAATCACCCTTGCGGCCGTTGATTCGATTTTATATAGTTTGTTTATTTTTTTTTTGTTTCGTCTCTTTATCACTCAAATAGTTTAGATCAATAACGTTTGTACTTATCACGGTACAAATGCATACAACAAATACGATAATCAAAATCAATGGATTATGAATGACAATTAATCAGTCCAGATTCAATATAATTAACTGATTATCTGTTTGAACCTTTGTCACTGTATGCACCTTCGATATTGAACCGAATACGGTATGATTATATTGTGTATGTATGACGTTTGTTTTGTTATAACATTTCTATTGTATGCGAAAAAGAGAGAAGAAGACCGGCTGTTTTAGTTTTATCGCATTGTTCTCTATCACACATGCCCTGTGTATGGTATTTTCCGTATAATATAAAGTATGCAAAACCACAGCAATTGACGAAAAATTAAAATAAAATAAATAAATATCTACTCCTACGATAAATACATAGCCCGAACTTGAACCCAACACAAAGCGATAACAACAACAACAATACTAATCCATATACTGGTTGAATTAGAAAAAGGCAAGAAATATAGATACGAGTGTATGTACTTTGTAATTGAACTCGTATGAATACCACGCGCGCACATACATCTTTCTTCCATCGTACACTATCATCATTGTCTTTGTATCACATTTATGAAAGAAAGATGATCTCGGGATTGTCGTTAGCTTTCCAATATAAAAGAAGCAAAAAAATGCCAAATTAAGATCATAATTGAAACGCGTTAGTATCAAACTAGAAGTTAATTAGGCGTGCGCCAAACAATTGTTTCTCACTGTTCCACTGTAATTTGTACGGAGGAATTTTTCTGCTAGAGTACAGAACACACATATATATTTTATTTTTCAACAAATAATAGAGTGACAAACATCTGGTGTCTCTTTTTAAAGTAGTAGGCAGCCAGTTTAACGCAAATACTAACGATTCGGAACCATTGAGCTTCGGAATAAATAAAGAAACGAACTTTTGCAACAAAACTGAACAAATTTACATTATTCACATTAGACTAGCTCCTTTTGTGCTAACGTTCATGTGTGTTTCTCTCTTATTATTTTTTTTTTTATTTGTTAAAATTCCAAACATTCGTCAATCGGAAACAAAGTATTTCGAAAGAAAGAATATTCCATAAAAATCCATGCGAGTGACTTTGTGCATAACATTTTTGGACACAACAAAATAATAAAATTCAAGCCACAAAATGGGCAGTGCACTTTATCAATATTTATGCTGTATTTGCGGTAAATCTAATTTGTGATATATTTAAATTGACTCTTCTCTTGTTGCAATGTAATGTTTCTTATTTACTTCGTTTTTTTCGATCAAAAAGTGAACTTATGCACAGTCGGTTATGGAATATCAGTTGGTTGGATGGCAAGCGCTGTAGTTGTGTACGATTCAGATGCAAGTCCATTGCCAACGGGAAGAGTGAAAATGGATGAAATCGGGTGGATCGTATCAATTCTTGGAATCGGGTAAAGATCGTTGGGTGTTGCAACAATCAATAAAGTAAAAAAGTTCATTAATTCGGCTCTCTTTTCGCAGAGGTTTAATTGGCACGGTGGCTGTTGGTTGGCTTTCTGAACGTGTTGGTCGTAAAAGTGCTTTGATCGCTATGGCTGTACCACAAATTGTAAGAACAAAAAAAAAAACTAGGACCAATTGAAAAACATATATGGAAGTTTGATTTATTTATTTTTTTCTACCCACCAAAAAAACAGATCAGTTATTTGTTAATTATCTATGCACAAAATGTCTACTATTTGGTAAGAATTAAATAGCATTAAATTTATTTTATATTTTTACTAAATTTATTATTATTTGTCACATAGTATGCGTCTCGATTTTTGTCTGGTTTTGTTGGCGGTGCAGTATTTGTCGTCATTCCAATTATGGTTGCCGAAATCGCCGAAGACAGGTACGCATTTTTCTTAGATTATGAAAAAAAAAATTGTTCGGCAAAAAAAAAACCTTCGAATGAAAGAAGAAAAAGGGAGAAAATCGAACACTTCAAATTACGATACATTCACATGCAGCACGCATATCGGTTCGATGTTCGCATATTTCTGAGTCTATGCTAATATTATCGAATGTTTGCATAGAATAAATCGCATTAAAATCGCTTTGAACTGGTTGCAGCATTTGACGGAAACATAGAAAAAAAGAAACCAATCGACAACTTGATAAAAAAATAAATAATTAACGTTGGTTCTGGTTTTTTCCTCTCGTTTTTCGACAGAATTCGCGGTACGTTGTGCACGATATTGGTACTTGGTTCAACGGGAGGTGTATTACTTGGTTTTGTAGCTGGTCATTTTCTAGATTATTCTGAAACACCACGCATTTCTTTGATGTTCCCCATTTTATTTATTGCATTTTTCTCATTCATGCCCGAAACACCGTATTACTTGATGAAAACCAATCGCATGGAGGTTTGTGCTCTCACAATTGTGATTAATCGTTAAACATAATTTTTGTTTTCATTTCTCGAAAATATTTAACAACAGTTTTACGTTTTTTTTTTTAAATTGACATTCAGGAAGCCGAAAAATCGCTTCGCTTTTATCGTAACATATCGCCAAAGGCGGCTGTATCTGATAACAAGACATTTGAACATGAACTATCAAAATTGAAATATTCATATACTGAAACGCAACGCAAAGATACCGAATGTTCGTCTAGTTCACCATTGAAATTGAGCGACTTTTTTAATCGTCCATTTGCAATTGGTTGTACTTTAATGGTTGCGCACGAAACATGCGGTGGATTTACAATGTGCGCTTATGCAGCGATGATTTTTTCTAAGTCTGGTTCAACAATGTCACCCGGCATCTCTGCAATAATTGTGGGTGCCATTCAATTTCTTGGATCTTACGTTTCGGCATTATTGATCGATCGACTTGGTAGAAAGGTAAGCTAAAATCACAAATAATTTTTATCTATTCGAATAAGAAAAAAAAAACACAAAAACAAACCTAAACCAAATTGAATTGTTCTTTATATAATTCCTAGGTACTTATGGTATTTTCATTCACCGGCACTGGCATAAGTCACGTAGTGTTGGCCACTTATATTTATCTAGCTTCTTCGACTAATATAAATTTACAAGCTTTCCAATGGGTACCAGTCGCAAGCTTTTCAGCAATGATATTCATTGCATCGTGCGGTGCTCTTCCAATTCCATACGTTATTGTTTCGGAAATTTTACCTGATAAAGTGAGTGCGATTTTAGCCTAATGCTTATCCTCGAGTGTAGTTTTTCCGTATCGGTCATTTTAACTAATCTTTTTTCTCGCTTTTTTTTATCTTAATCTAGATTCGAAGCATTGGTACGACATTTATCTTTTGCATTTCATGGGCTTTGACCTTTGTGTTGGTCAAAATATTCCCACCGCTCTTTGCCACAATTGGATTACATTCGTGCATTTTCATGTTTGCGATTTCCTGTTTTGCGACCGTTGTCTATTTGCTGTTATTTGTTCCAGAAACCAAAGGCAAAAGCTTAGATGAGATTCTAATCATTTTGAAGGCAAAATAGGGCAATCCTTTGAAATGCACGAAACGAAGTTTCTGCGCCTGTAACATCATATATTCTAATTTAATATAATTAGCCCATGGCAAAATTCAAACTATAAATCCGCTTTGAACCGGAATCAAACAAAATCAGAACAAATATCGTCCTCTTTATCAGCATCCTAATCGGGATTCGGGATAGAAAATCCGCACAACTAACAAACACCAAAATAAACATTTCCAGCCAACATGGAAATAGGTTGAATGATGAAAGTGTGCTTTCAGAAATTATATATTATAAGGTTTTAATTTATTTGATGACTTCTATCGTCTTTTAGTTTCGTTGTATTTTAAATGTTTCAATGAAAAAGAAAAAAAAAACAATCATTGAAAATCACTTTTAAGATAGTAATATGCATAAGTATAATCTTATATAAAATTGATTTTTTGAATATTCTTCAAGTTGTTCATTTTTCGATGTGTAACATATGTCCATATTAGAAAATAAGTGACTCAAGTGCATTCAATCAATTTAATTGACAATCTCAATGGAAAGCAATAAATTATACATCTATTATTATTTTTTTATGAATAAAATAAATCAACGTTTATTTCCTTTTAACATTACCATGAACTCATTTAAGTAAAAAGCCATAGAATTGAAAAATGACCGATTTATATACGATCATTTTTTCAATTGGAACATATTAATATTAATAATTAATAAGAGTATTAATATTAATATTGGAAATGAATATGCATATATTTGCATCATTTATAAGGAATATTATCTCAAACCATTTGAAACATTGTAAAAGTTCCACCTTCCAATCGTTTTTCGATTTCCAAAAGGTCCTAAGTTCGTAAGAACCATTCCCGTAGATCTGGCTATGCATCTGAACATTTGGACAACGTTTTATGTCGGTCTATAAACCACGAAAATTTTGCCGGAATAGCTCATTGAAATATCGATATTTTTCAATATGAAAAATGATTGATTTTCCATATAAATCGGCTCAAAAATGAAGTTTGCCTCCACAGATTTATGACGGAGCATCCCGAGTGAAAAATGGCATTGAATTTTTCAATGCGTAGTGTCAAACGGCATTTAAGCAATAAATCGACACCGCATGGCTATAGCGATGTGGTGTATGCACTCAACGTGCGCACGGACCATGCGGTCTCGATTTATTGCTTAAATGCCGTTTGACACTACGCATTGAAAAATTCAATGCCATTTTTCACTCTCAATTTCCCGCTTGCTAACTCCTTGGGTGTAGTACAAAATTTCGCCGGAATTGGTCATTGAAATATCGATATTTTTCAATATGAAAAATGATTGATTTTCCATATAAATCGGTTCAAAAATGAAGTTTGCCTCCACAGATTTATCATGGAGCACGATAATGGCCTGAATTATGGCTGAATTCGGTGAATTAAGGTCCAATCTCAATTTCCCGCTTGCTAACTCTTAGGGTGTAGTACAAAATTTCATGTGAAATGCACGTATGCCTTTTACATTCAATCAAATATCATAAAACTATTCCAGGTTTAAATGTATCAATAGCACGATATTCATAGTACGATATGATCAATAGTTAGTACTATATAAATAGCGTCAATATATTCACTGAGAATTATAAGGTTTAATCCGAAAGATTTGTAATGTTTATTTTCACCTACAGTTTACATATTGTACTGTAACTACTCCTTTATTGAAAACATAAAGTTTCATTTAAATCGATGATAATTATATTCTGGTTTTGAATTCATTTTAATTTTAATCAACGTTTATTTTGTTATCAAATTGTTGATATTTTACTCACTTTAGGCATTTTATTCATTTGGCGAAAATTCATGCTTGCAATTCAAACATTTGAAACAGTTCGACTGGGTGAATCAAAAATCGAATTAATTCATATGAGCGCTTTTGCATCACACATTTTATACATTTTTTGTATTTAATATTTAAAAGCATTTGTAATAAATCAGTGATGCGATTTTCTGCGAAAATGTTCATATTCGCTTTGCCAATCTCAACCTTTTTCCTCACGCTTTTTCTTTTGATTCAACATTTATACAATTTTAATTTCTGAATTATATTCGACATTCTTGCAATCCTTTGTTGTTACTCTTACTCAGTTATGTATTAATGTTCTGATACATAAAAGTCTTTGATATCGTTGCGGGAATTTTATTTCCATGGCAGAGTACGCAATTAAAATAGCGAAGGATTTTTTAAAAGTGTGTCAATATATTTGCTTCACATTCAAGATGTTTATTAGAATTTTGTTCATTTACCGGCTTTGATTTAAAAGCTTATTTTGGTTAATTAATTTTCAAAGCAAAGCGTCAAAGCGTTTTTTTTTTTCAGAAAGAATTTTCTTTAAACGTCACCCTTCCTAAACATAATCATAAAGAAAATATTCATTGAGGTGAAAAGACAGTTCTAGTTGGTACTGTCAACCTCCACACAAGCGAAATCGTTTTGTTTTTTCACTTATTCTATTCTTTTCTTCGTGATATGGAATGTTTTATGACAGAAGACTTCATGCGCATTTTTATTTCAAACGTGGCGCATGAATCACCATAAGCCGAAAATTGTATTACAACTCGTGCCCAAACGTTCTTCAACCGATTTTTTTAACGATCGCATAAAACAACTTTGAGCAATTTACCTTATGCGTTAAGTACTTTCATCATTTGGAGTGTTAAATGAATATGTGTACTTACGTTGCATAAATTACGTGTCACAAAATTATCTTTTCGTTTTGACATCATCAGACTGTATTTTATATAATTATAGGAAAAAAAGTAAAAACATATTCAGCATCATTTTCGATTAAAATAAGAAAAACAATCGAATTTTGTGTGTTATCGTGTGTGACACACAGTGTATCTACCGACATCACTGATATATAGTCTTACCTTCGTACAAAACCCTTACAAATGGATTAAATTTTCCAGTACTCTTTTGTCCTCTGATATATGACAATGATGTGAACACGGCTAAAAGTCTTTGCCATAAATCCGCCTTCACATACAAAAAATTACAAACAAAAAAAAATCACCATTCTGTGAGTGTAGCAAACAAATAAGCAAGTAAACCATCCATTACGACACGTATGCGTAAGTTCAAAATTTAAATGAGTCATTATATTGACAAATGAAAAAAACGAAACACATTTCACGACGGGAAAAATCAAAAAAGAAAACCAAATAAGAAAGAGAAGAAGATTCATTCACGTTCCTTCACACACACATGCACACATATATCTGTACCGCTCATGTGTATATTCAAATCATATTGTGAAACATACGTGCAAATCATGTAAAGTGTATTTTAAAGTGCACGTACAAATTCAAATCCATTGCAATAATTTTGGGGTAATGAATACCAAAATTAGTATTATGTTTATGGCAGATAGTCTCTTTTTCACTCTTTTTCTCTTTGTCTCGTTGGCGTCTTTTTTTGCTCGGCTATTACATTTGACGTGTGTTCTTCGCATTCGAGGGTGTGAGTGGCCACGCAGTTTAACTGTCTCTCAAATCAAAATGCTATAATTCAAAGGAGCAGGCGAAACCACATCGACGCATGAAGTCAACATGCATACGTGTGTAACGAATTCATAAGATCGGAAAATAAGTAATGGTATGTGTGCATGTGTGGAAGGTGCGAGCCGGAATGAAATTGAATAAGCTTTATTACATTTTTTGTACGTATTAAGATCGGCGGCTTGATGAAGCACACGAGTACTTTCTCACGAGGCATAAACGAGAAAATGCGATTGTTCCAACTGCACTTTACATTTAATGACCAAACTTCTTGTTTCAACTGTTTTCTTTATTCACATCGAAATGAACGTTCGCGTACTCTTCTATACATTGGCATGGTGGGTAAGTGAGTGATGGCACGCACGTAAAAAATACGTAATCAAAGAAATCCAACTCGACCTCACACTCGCTACATACATCCTGTTGTAACATTGTATCAGTGTGAATGGCATATTCAAGCACTTCCGACTGAATAATTTACAGATACTTGGAAAAGATTATATGCCGCATACCAGTTTAATCACGGTCATATCTGAGTTTTCGCATTTTTCTTCATGGCAAATTTAAATCGATGGCAAACAACAACAAAACGCCAACGATCTGATTAAGTTTTCTGAAGGATCAAGAATATATGTGCACACCTGTGTGTGCTTTTGAACATTCGTGATCCATGTGCTTAAGCATTATTGTTTGAAACAATCCCTCCACACCATGAATAATTATTAATGCAATAATAACTATGGACACTGATTATGATGCTTTCAAACGCATAAATGGAACGAATTCTCTCATCTCAAATTCCAAAAAAGGTGTGAAAGAATTGAACTTAAGAATTTTGACTAAACTTTGAAAACCTTTGATAGGAGAAAATTTCATTTATGAACACGGCATAAATAACAGTGTATGCAAACTCAAACCCGACAAACTGTTTTATTGCCGCATAATCTTAATTCAAAAAATAATGAATTTGCCAAGCAAAAATTTAAAAAATAAAATTCCACGTGGAACAGATGAAAATTATATTTTATTATTTATCAAATAATGACTTTAATGCTGTTTTCAATACTTTTTTTTGCATTTTAATTACACTTCGTTTTCAACAGAATTATGTTTAATATTTTGGTACCCATTTTTCATGGACGTAGTCATGTAGGGTTCATCGGTTGCATGATTTTACAAATTTCACATATGTTTAAAAAATGAATTAACTTACAAAATTGACTGGAACAGTATGATTCAAACAATTGAATGTCCGAGAATGAAAGCGACTATAACTTATTGTTGCGAGACTTCTATTCACAACTTATAGTGGTGTTACATTTCAATAAGTTGTGAATAGAAGTCTCGCTTTCATTCTCGGGCCAATGTCGGAATATGATGGCGTTTTATTTTCAACCAAAAGTATGTTTTAGCGTAGATGGCACTGATTTAAATGGACATTTGTATGTATAGACGGTGGCGCCGCCCTACTCAATTAAACACTGAACTACAGCGTTTCCAATCGTTGTCTCGGGCAATCAATTGTAAATTGTAGATCTGTCATTTGCTTGATATTCGGAATAATAAATTTCCTTTAATTTGATGAAAATATCCTGTATCGGCCTTGATATTTGACAAACAAAAATACCTTGGACTCTTTGGCTTAGAGGATCATCAAATTTTCAGAATGT